CTTATCTTACACTATTTTTTATATATATTATAATATTTTTATAAAATATGATGTAATATTAAATAAGTAAATGTAAACAAATTCACATGTGATTCAAATAAAAAGAATCAATAATAAAATTACATGTAATATTGTACAAAACAATCTAAAACAAACATTTTGGGTCTATAATTTTTAGTTTTCTTCAACAACGCCCATCTCTTTACAGTTCCAGCAAAATGAAAAAGAAAGCACCCTTCTCTGTTAAGTGCTGAACAGAAATACCCTTGAGACCACCATAGCACATTTTGTAATTGGAGGGGCAACTGGGCAAAGCGCACCCACCCCAGACCATGGAGTATCACCTTCTGCAGGAAATTGTCAGTTGATTCAACAATGGCTAGAGAGAGTCTTTATGTGCTCAAGAAAAAGGCAAACATTAAAGAGAAAGGTGCAGATTAATGGACAACAAATTGGTTCCACACTTTAGCATGCGAAGCCTTCCTTTACATGATTTCTTATATCTTTAAAAGTACGGAAAAAGAAAAGAGACAAGAAAATTAAAATGAACATGTTCTTGAATTTATGGTAACCAAACACAATTGCTTATAATATGTACATGGTTTCAATACTAGTCTTATATCAAATTTAAAATTAATTAACAATAGGTGAAATAACTCTCTTTATATTTAAATCACTTTTTGTTTGGTTACATCTTAGATCTGAGATTTTTCCACTCAACAATACATGTAACATACCACAAACAATGGGTAATGGGATTAGGTTCCCTTCTACCCTTCCAGTCCCATCCTTACATGCAAATAATATGGAAGAATTGGGAAGAAAGACAACTCCTTCCACAAGCTGATGCAAGAGCTTATCTAAGTGGTAGCCCTATCTTTCTTTTTGTGAGTAGATAATGCATTTCTAGTGGAGCAGGTGTGTTGTTATTCATCAAAATGGTTAGAACAAAAGAGGATAACCAAAAATGCATTACATTTTAAGTGGAATCTCTTGGTGAACTTACTATTACTAGACGCGGTTTCTTTCCCTTTTTTCTTTTTCAATTTTCTATGTAAAGAATAATTTCATACATTAAAAATTGGGAGCATTACGTATGGCATGAGGTAGTGAGTTATATAAAATTCCCTCCCAAGGGGGTTTATAGGTGCTGGTAGTCTAGCAATCATTGGAGACCCTGCGTACATGTTTAAAAATGCCAGAACCAAAGGTTTAGATTGGATTTCTTAGGTTCATACCTAGGATGCAAGTAGGTTTTGTAATAAGAGAGTTATGCCATCCACCGTTATTGTTTTGGGCTGTAGGTTTTTTCTTTTTTTTTTTTTCTTTAACTCTCAAAAATATTTAAAATATTAATTTTTTTAGATAGGTAAAAACTAAAGATTAAACCTTAGAATTGTAGATAAGAATGCATGTAACTTTATTACTTAATTATATGACTAATAGTATATATAAATTATTAATTAAAATATATATTAAAAAATTTAGTAAAATTAATTAAGAATAATAAATTTGTATTTTTAAATAATTGGCAATGTGAAAAACATACTATTAAATGAAACCTAAATCCAATCTAATTTACCAAAAAGAGTTTGAATTGAAAATGAAAAACCACAACTCATGTTTGGTGAAACTTGTAAGAATTTTAATTTTTT